TTTGTTTGGATCACAGTGTGTAGAAGTTTCGCTGTGAGAGTTGAACCCTGTTGATTTGTTGTGTGACCTGTGCATTTATGTCCTTGGCTTTTGGCTGTTGACCAAGATTGTGATATAACTTGAAGTTTTTTCAGCAATTTACATATATTGAACAAATTCGACATTTGGTTGATACCAGAATTTGATGGGTCTCCTGATGGACTGTCATCAAATGGCTTGAGAAAGCATAGCACATTTGCAAGTTAGGCAAAATAAAGGAGCCAGCAACCATTATTCCCCTGAGATTAACTGGAGGAGCATACATGGGGTACCAGTAGCTCAGAAATGACACAGACTTAGACAAGATAAAGCATGCTTTGTATAAGACATTTGGAATGGACACCTTTGTTGCATGGCAACAGTCCGTTAGGCAGTGACTTCATCCTGGGAAAACGGTTGACATCTGCCTAGCTGATTTATGTAAAATCTCGGCATCGTTTGGCAGCATGAATGACCAGATACTGAGATGCGCTTTTTTAGCAGGATTACCAGAAGATGTTAGTAGGCTTTTGTGAGTGTTGTCTAGGATTGCTATAAATGTGGTGGTCCCAATCATTTTTCTAGGTAGTACCAGAGTCTAAGTGGTAAGAGGAGTGCATATCAATGATCACAGGAAACCCTATGATGTTATTGCTGTAATGAGCTGGGTGACATATGCAACTGTTCAGGAAACATATCTGGTGGAAAGATATCATTGCCACTCTTGCCTCCCTGTCAGACAATGAATGCTGTATTTTGCCTATAGTTGGCATCCAGGTAAAGGGTGTAGTGTTCAGCACTCGTCGACACTGGATATTCCCAGTCGATAATTAGCGCGAATCACTGTCGGGTATGCCATGACCCTCAATGGAACATTCCAAGTATGTTGTGGAGTAGGAATTATCAACATTCATAGAGAGAGTGGTGACTTTGCCGAAGTTGACATACTGGTGGTGTGGGAAAAGTTCCTTGGCTACAGCCTATTGATTTTCACTGACACAATAATAGCCCTAGGGGGTGTTAAGATCACGCCAACAGGAAATGTACTGCTTGGTGGAGGGCAAGAATCATGTGCGGCTATTTCTATTGAGGAACCAGACTTTTGTACCACGTTTGACCACAAAGAGAGGGACTGGACTGCAATGTGGAAGTGGGCCATGAATGAAGCACCAGATCAGCTGCATAATGTGCTTCCAAAGTACACAGGGCCACATAGGAGGACCTGCAGCTGTGGAATACTAAAGGCTGGCTGATGCTATATACCCAGGAACAGCTAGAATTCCATAAGGGATTGATCCCACTGATGGCTGTTGTGCAGCCCACCAAAGACAAAGTGTGACTAGTAATGGATTAAAGAGAGCTAAACTAATATGTGGATGCCTTCACCATGAACACAGATGTGTGTGCTGCTAAATTGAGGGGGTGGTGTCAGCAGGAGGTTAATGTAGCCCTGCTGTACTTGAAGAGGGCCTATCTGCAGATAAGAGTTCATGAGTCACTGTGGCCATTTCAGACAGTATTAATTAAAGGAGTGAGATATTGTCTGACATGCTTGGGGTTCAACCTGAATTTGGCACCCCTAGTAATGAAAGCTATCATCAAGATGGTGTCGATGCAAGACGAGTTAATGATGAAAGCCATATCAGCCTACATCGACTATATATATATATGTATATATAATTATTTTTATACAAATTTTTTTATAAAAATAATTATATCTGCTCTACTTTGTATTGAGCACTCTTTTAAGAATAGTAATTGTTGGTTATTGGAATTCATTCCGTGTATACCAATTATATACTTTGATATATATATATATATATATATATATATATATATATATATATGTCAACGAGGACATAATATCTGCAGATGAGGTCCAGACAAGGCTAGAAACCTTTGGCTTGACCAGTAAGGATCCCAAGTGCCTGAAGGATGGTGCTCTTGTATTAGGCCTTGAGTCTGGTCAGGGGTGGGATTGCAATAGTTCCAGAACTCCACAGCATACTGATATGATGCACAGTATTTTCCATTTGCAGTAAGCTGGTAGAACATTTTCTTGTCTGTGGGTGGCTCTGAACAGTGACTGGAGTAATAAAGAGATGAGCTAGTGTGGTAACGAAGGAGTGGGACAACACAGTGAATGACAATTCCCTAAAGCAACTGATGGTCGAGGTAGTGACGAAAGTATGTCAAGACGACCCTGCCTGAATCGATTGGGGTATGGCCGGACACAAATTAAACGCATGTGTTGACTCAAGCTCCTTGGCAATGTGTGTGGTGTTGGAAAGATGTGATGCTCTTCTAGAGGATGTATGCTGGCTTTGTCTGACAAACGATGAGCAGCATATTACTTTGGTTGAGCTTGACGCTATGCTGAAGGGTCTTAATATCATGCTACAGTGGCAAGTCAAGGTGGTGCATCTCTACACAAACTCACTGTGTTTACCACTGGCTGATCGACACTTTGACAGGCAAGGTGCAAGTCAGGACCAAAGCTGCTAGTAAGATGTTGGTGTGGAGGAGATTGGCAATAGTAAAGCATTGATGAATACTGCTTATGGGTTGGCATTATGCTGATTGCATCAGAGCAGAATCTGGTAGATAAGCTGACCCAAGTACCAAAGAGGTGGCTTGATATGATGAGACAAGGATCCAACCCATCGTGGCTGACATGCACTGTCATGACAGACCAAATGTCACTGGAACAATTCGTGCCATACACCGACAAAGTGGACATCCTGGAGTTTCATGGGCAAGAATTTCAGACCTTTGCAGATGAATGGGGAGTGAGAATGCGGTACTGAGGTGCCTACGTCCCAGAGGGTAAAGGTATTGCGGAACAGTGTCACTGCACTATCAAAAGAATTACTGCCAGAACACAGTGCTCTATTTAAGAGGCTGTGTACTGGTACAACGTAACTCCTAAAGATGACACAACAGTGTTAACTGCACCAACCAACAGAATCTACCAGCATGAGCAGTAGGTAAAATGGATAGATGTGGCATTATCGGCTACTGAAAGTGTAGATGCTCCATATCAAGTGGGAGACCGTATCTGGGTTAAAACCCTGAACAGCCAATGCATTAACACATTTGGCAAGGGACAAGTTGATAAAATAGTCAGTCCTCAAACAGTACTAATTAATGGACCACCTTGGAGGAATATGAAGGAAGTAGTGCATTATCTGAGAGCGACTTTGGGACTCTGCTGCCTCTTAGAACAGGATCAGGCAATCTGCCTACAGACTTAGAAACGACCATAATAGAGTTGTCAGATAATAATGATGATGATAGTGAGGGGACTGGGAACAAGGGAGATCCTATGGGCACTGACACTGGAGAAATGCGGGCAGAAGAGCCTTCTCCTTCCCTACGAAGAAGCACTCGGCGAAGGCAGTCACTATCACTCTGCCATTTATGGGATAGTGATTATCAGGGAGGAGTGTAGCAAGAGAATACACTTACCTCACCAGGCAAAGTAAGCACATATGTTTGGTGTGTAAATCCAACATGGCTGATTTTGTAAAGGAGTGTGAGGAGCTGCTATTTGCAATCATACTACATAGGATACTCTTTTTAATACTCTTTTTAATACTATCGGTCATTTGCAGATTGGAAATAGTAATAATGGATTGCACAGTCAAATGGGGAGCAAACGTGTAGAGTATGGAGCATTTGTTTGGATCAGAGCATGTAGCAGTTGCTACAAGAGTTGAACCCTGTTGATTCGTTGTGTGACATGTGCATTTATGTCCCTTGCTTTTGACCGTTCATACCCTCCCAATTGTGATTTAACTGCAAGCTATCTTGTTAGTTCATTAAAACCTTCTAAAGATCTCCTGTTTTCCTTTCATCACTTCACTGATATTGACAACTGCTCTTTCTGAACCGTGGTCTTTGTTGCTTTCCAATTCTTTTCTTTCATTTGTGTGAGTTGAGTTTCTATATTTGGTGAGCCTTGACCCTTTGAAATTCTTGTCTCTACAACTTATTCAGGTCTTGTTGGATTCTATATTTGCTTCAAACATTATTTTGCTAAGTCAGGTCCTGGTTTGTTTGGATATTTCATGTTCCAGCTGATGTTTCCATCAGTGTTTCTGAAGAATCCTTTTTCTCATGAGGGTGCGTCCAGCTATTTTCACTATCCTTTTTGCTCTCCTGGAATTGACTGATGTCTTAATTAAATCTGGTAGAACTATCTTTAGGTCTCTACATTTGTATAGGAATGTCAGTTGCAAATTTTTGATGGAGTTTTTCCAAATGCTTCCATTGCTATATCACATTGGGTCTTACTGATTTGATACTTTCTGTCTAAATATCTGGAATGAGGAATTATCATTATTTACAATGTTTACATGTAAACTATTGTCCTCATCTTTGTTATTGCTATCACAACTTTTCGGTTGTTGTGCCCTCCAACCTTCATCAAGTGTAACCTACAGGGAATTCTGAACTGAACCCTTTATTTAATCTACAGCAGTAGACTGTTTTCATCCCATTGAATCTGGGCAGTGGAATGTGTTGTTAATGTAAAAAAGATACTATTTTGTTTGAATATTTGAACCTGGATAAAATAAGAAAGAAAAGCAATTTATATTTGAATGCTTTGTTGTTCTTTCTTCATATAAAACTATATGAACATTAGTATCACTGTTAAGGGTATTTATTTTTCCATCTTTTCCTTTTTCAGTTCATGCAGATTAATTTTTCTAATTTATATTGTTCTGTTACTTTAAAATGTTGGCCTCAGATACTTGGGCTACATACCTAGGAACTAACACTTCTTGACAATATCATTATGCCTTGATCTGTTATCATAAATCACAGTATGTCTTTCTTTTCCATTCATTATGTTTTATATAATCTTCTTTTGTCTTTGATGAATCCAAGATTGAAATATTAAAGGGAATGCAACATTCTACTATCTTTCATCAATACTTAATGATGACAAAATGAATGTATCTTTTCAGATTCGATTAATGATTGCTTTGGGTCCAGTGTTTACTGTTGGACACATGACGAGTCCAGTTAAACTTTTTACTTTATTCACTGACAAGGTAATAACTAATCAATTTTATAATTAAAAGTTCAGCTCTACAAAAGCTTGAAATATCTTAACTCAGCCCACCTCCTGTTTATTTTTATTAGGGTGTTAAAAGTCTTTAGCATTTTGTATCATCAAAAAATGTTATTATTTCTAAAACAATTATGCAAATAATCACTGTTGCTGTTTATCACTTTCTACCAACATACAAATAAATAATAGATTCCTTTGAAAGAGAATGGCATTAGTTGTGAATTGAAGATGGGTTTTTGTATTTGGAGATCATCATTTTAGAAACTTATTTGAGAAAATTCTGCAGGGAGCAAAAAAGGTTGTAATCAGAGAGTTGGATGTCTGGCAGAATTTCACAAAAAACACTTTCACAGGGCATCTGTATTACAAGGTACATAATGGCATTGTTTTGCAACAGGTGAATTACGCATTTCAGTGTTTATGCTACAAACATTTTGCAACTGCAGTGATATTCTTGTTTAATTAAAACAGTTCTGAGTAATATCCAAGAAACAAAGCATAATGTTTTTCTGGTATATGTCAACTGAGAAAGATTTAGTTAATGAATTCATTAAAAATATGTTAAACCAAATTTGTAAATTCTTATTTTTACTTGTTATTATACTTTTTAATTATTTATAGAAATTGTTTCACATTTTTGGGGAAAAGTGTTTTCTTTCTGAAAATAAATACATTAAACTGATGGCAAAAACTATCTGTAAAAACCCGGAAACTCGATTTATTTGCCTGGATGTTATTCAACTCATTGCTGGTTTTGATCAGACACACTTGAATGTGGTAAGTAAAGAATAAATCAATTCTTCACATACAGAGTATAATGTAGATGAAAATTATTGATAATTACAAATTATTCTTTCTATATCATACAGCAGTTGTAATAAACAATATCTTTTCATTAATTATTGGATTAATTGTATATATATATATATATATATATATATATATATATATATATATATTAAGATACTGTTTTAATATGTATTATCTTATAATATTGAAAAATAAATGTGTGAATAATTGATATGAATTGTTTGTGTTGATAGTGCACTAATAATGATCTATCTCAGTCTCTTTTCTCTTTCTCATCTCTCTATATATAGACAAATTTTATATATATTTTCCCACATATCAAATAAAGAAAAACATAAAACTATACAAAGAGTATGTTTATTATAACTTTTTATACAATATAAAGAGCATACATGCATATTTACTATTTATTTCTCTCTCTCTATCTCTCTCACTATATATATATATGTATATATCAAATGGGATCAAATAATTATTAGCATGTAACTGAAAGATAGGATAAGGAACAAATAGGAAATGTTTATAGATTTAACATGTTCAGTGTAGTAGTGAAAGACTTAGAACCATTGGCTACAGGTATGTGGAATGTATTAGTATCCCTTCTAAATATTTCCTTTGTAGTAATACATGTTACTTTCTTATTAAAAAGTAGGAAAGGAATATGTTTTACTATGAAGAAAATTTTTAGAATGGATTAAAAGAATTTGTTCAGATCTTAAGGGCTACTATATATAATAAGTGAGCATATATATATATATATATATATATATATATATATATATATATATATATGCTCACTTATTAACCACTTTGTCAATGGAAAGTACTTAAAATTAATAAAAGAATCTATAAGTTTCCTCACACTTAAAATAGTCTTTTAGTTTACAAAACAAAACACAGAGCTCCTGAATACTCATGACATTTGATTTTAATCATAATATAAATAAATTGACTTATTTCCTTAGAAGAGACTTCCTAAATCTTAAATTAGATCCTCTAATTAATAACACATTAAGTGAGCCTCCACTTAATGCACAACAACAACAACCACCCAGTTTGTTATCACTATTCACATCTTACAAACTGAAATGACCAAAAGCTCTGAGATATTTATACAGGCAACAAACCATATTACCAAATCTTTAAGCACTTTGTCACCAATACAACTTATATTCCTCCAGGCACAGAAATTAAAATACATCTCCTTACCATATTTGTGACTGTTCTAACATAGTTTATTTGATTTTATGCAATTTTTGTGACAGAGGCAATTATGTTAGTGAGATTGGATCTGAATTTTGTCTCTAATTCAACAATCACAAAAAGACAATTAGGAAAAAATTCTAATTATTCTACTATAGCACAGCATTTCAGCTTACCTAATCATAATATAGACAATGTTAGATGCATCTTTCTAGCCTCTTCCTTTAATTCACAAAACAGCCTGAGAAATGCTGAAACCAATTTCATTATCAAACTTAATACCAACAAGTTCAGATTAAATAAAAACCTAGGAATTCTCAATAACTATACTTTTGCACAAATAACAACTGAAATAGCTGCATTGTTTTTATTTTTTAAGTGTTATTAGCTGGAAAGAGCATGACTATTTTTGTATACATACTTATATGTTATATTCATCTATGTGTCCATTTTCATTCAGTGGCAGCTCATGTATAGGCACTGTGGAACTTCAGCCCTCCCTATTTTTACTCAATATTAACATTCAATATAATGAGTCTCTTTTTTCTTCAATTCTTTCTTTATGCTTGTACATTATATAATCCTTAAGCTTAATGTCAGTAACCATCCCTTCATTCATGAAAAATAACAAAAATCCTTGTATGGAACTGTGGGCTTCAGTTCCAGTAATGCAGTGTTTGGTTGTTGAGTGCAATGTGCACATTGTCCAAAGAAAGAGTGCAATGTGCACATGTCCAAAGAAAGAAGCTAAACATTGGTTAGAGAGAACACTGTTGCTAATGCAGTACCTGACCCTACTGTCTGAGTGTAAGGTAGTTTTTATTTTTGACTCAGTGTATGTTGTGCTTAAAAACCTTGTACCATATTCTTGAATGTGATAAACTGTAGATGACGATATTCAGTCCCCCCCCCCGAGGGTGTCATGGCACAATTTTTTTTTAACGTGGGCATTTTTTTTGCTCGACCAAAAATATGCCCATTGAATTATAAAAGGGGTCAAAATCTACCTCCCGAAGGAGACTCCATTGTTTTAGCCTCCTTTAGGTTCCTCCCATCCGTAGGAAGAGAGTACAACCGAACAGTCGCTCAGAAAGTACTGATAAACTGTAGATGACTATCATGCTTCCAGCTATTCTATATTTAATTCATTGTTTTTTTTTTTGTTGTTTTATTGCATAGAAAATTTTAATAACTATGACTTCTTCGAATCTCCAAGGAATAAGTTCTGTGACAGTGAAATTCAACAGCTTAAGTTTTCACAGTTTTCTCTCCTTAAGAACGTTACAGATAACAAAAGAGGCTGTTCAATACTTGATATTCAAATAATCCCAGCCAGGAATAAGCAACAACAACAAGAAGAGGTATATTCAGAAAAGTTAAGCTCTGTGACCATAAAGTGAAAAATGCATTGTTTGGCTTTTCTATATTTGCTGTTTGGAGGTAATGTAACGGGGACAAAAGACATTTTTAGAAATATATAAACAAAAGAAAAAAATTAAAACATGAGAAATCAAGGAAGCATATTGAGAATCTAGTTTCACTGTCACTTTTAGGAAATGTAAATATTAAGAAGAAACATGCAGACTTTCAATCAATGAGCATAACATGAAGGTTAAAAAGAATTATGATATTTTATCCAATATAATAGACTGTATTTTATTTTGTGGAAACTTTGAAACTCCCTTATGGGGACACAGCAAAAAGATGATTCAATAAATCCAGGGGTATTTAGAGGATTAATAAATTTTGTATCTAAGTTAGATCCAGATTTGACGAATTACTTAGAAACTAGTATGGTTTCAAAGATGTTTCTAAGAAAATTCAGAATGAGATACTTGACTTCCTGCTACAAATATACCATGAGGAAATAGGGACAGAAATTAAGGAAGTTTACTGTTCTATGGTAGATGTTGAATGAAGAAATATTTGAGCTTTTTGGGGGATTCTTTATTCCAGAAAATCAAACTGAAGATGGCATATCAAAACGTATTCTAGAACAATTAGACATAATCCTTCAAGGAAATTGACAATAACAGATAGCACAGATATTTGATGGTGCAAAAAAGGAGGAGTTCAAGCAAAAATAAAATCAGTTTATAGTAGTGCACATTTCATTCACTGTTATGCATATCAAGTTAATAATAAAAAATGCAACAAGTACTACATGGAATGCAAGAATATTTTTCTCTAACATTTTGGCTATTCCAACATTCTTATCAAGATCACCGCAATGTGTACCCATTCTAAAGAAGCATATGAATGTCAGCATTTTACATCCATCCTCCACAAGGTGGAACTTTAACATATGAACCATGACCATGAAAATTTGCAACCTTTAAAAGGCTGCCTTACTGAAATTTAGTCAACATCAAATGGAGATCAAACCATTGCAGAATGTTTTGGTTAAACCTCATGTTGAAGTAACTTACAACTAAATGCAATCTTAGGAAATTAGTGTGCCCAAAGTTAATGAATATATAACAGATTTCAAAACTGCTATTTTAGAAATAAGAAACTCAAAGTACTGTGAGAATGCTTCAAGGACACTCATGGCAGAATCAAAGGAAGTGTGTAACTGCATGTGTTTTTCTAATGGACAGATATTCTTCCACTAAACACTTAGTAGTTGCTAAATTGTTCAACAATATGGCAAATTGAGCTGCTGAAATTTACCTTGGAAAACAATCTAGATGAAAGATTTCTAGTGAAATTATGAAACTGATAAAAATCCTCTTGACAATTCCCATGACTACATCAGAGCCAGAATGCCGCTTGTCAATACTGAAAAGAATAAAAACCAAGGAATCCTGAAAGACTAAATGCCCTTGCAGTGCTTTCAATGGAAAAAAGATTTCCTCAACAGTCATCCAGGGATCAAGGAGAAAATTATTAACCTTTTTGCTAAACTAGAAGAATGGATTTCATTTTTAAAGGAATGGATGAAGTTTAAGCAATAACTATTTATAAGTAAGTAAAAAATAATTTTTTTGTTTAGAATTTTATCAAGTTTATGCATAAATTTTATTTTTATAAATTTTTTCGTTTTACACAATATTAAAACAATGGCTAAAATTTTTCTGAAGCAGCACCCTGACTAATTTTAGCCACAAATCCTCAGTTTTCATTACTATTTTCTGTTGGCTTCCTCTTGAAGTGAGGGGCGCAAATCTGGGAATGAAGAAGTGCAAACAAAGGAAGGAGACCATATTTAAAGCCAATTTATGCAGAGAAAAAGTGGCTAATATCCAAAAAGAGGCTTACACATGAGTGTTTTTTAAAATTTTTGAATTTCATGTAACTACACAACATTTCACTTTTGTTTATCATCACTTGCCTTGATAAAGTCGAATGATGAAATGTGTTGGCAATGACTAAGTACTATTTTCCTATTGTCTATTTTATTCAATTTGTCTTCTCTATAGATATATTCTGAGAACTTTCTCACACACACACACACACACACATATATATATATATATATATATATATATATATATATATATATATGAGAGAGAGAGACAGACAGAGATTGTGTGAGGGCAAGATTAATTAATAAATCAATTATGAAAAAATGGACTGAATAAACTTTTTTCTCACTTCAGGAATAGTAATATTCCTTCTTTTCATTAATATTTTATTGCAAGCTTCTCTCTACAATAGAAATAATAATCTGATAATAAAATAATAATAGTAAAAATAGTTAATATAAAAATTTAATAAAATCAGTTTTGTATATTAAATGATAAAAATATTTTTGTATATGAACTCTATATTAGAAAAGACCATTTCTTAATATAGAGTCAAAGGGAATTAACTCTCTGTGTTAACCTATTTGATTACATAAAATTATCACCATAATCAAGCATAATTCATATGAAAAATATAACTTCATTCTCATAAATAATCAGAAAATCTGTCATATTTTTTAAAAATTGGTTTTTTACATTTTTATGATCATTAATTGGAACAAATTAAAATATATTCGTTCCAGTCACGTCTACCTGTGTATTTAACTCATTGCCCAGCTGGAACTTCTACAAGAAACATGGATCACTTTGCACAGGTAAAATAATTATTTATATTAACAACTAGCTTAAAAGTGGCCCTAATGAGCAGCATTTAAGCTAGCTCCTTTGAAGGACTCTTGATTGGGCCTTCATCACAGTAGGTAGGGAGGAGTAGATGTGATAGGCTACAATAAACTACAGAAGAACTCAAAATTGATTGCTGCATTTAAGTATTGCATTAATATTTAAGTTTACCTTTTAAAACTTCAACAATAATTCTTCTGCTGTTACTTAATTTAAAGGCAGTTTGATGTATATAGGTCCTTGCTTTCCATACAGACAATTATTTTTATTTCATGGGTGACTTTTGCAACTAACTTCAATTATTCCCAAATTGAATTCCAAGTTATAAAAATTGTTATTGTACAAAAAAATATGTTGCAAAAATATCATGTAAAAAAATTGCTAAAAACAATCACAATAAGGAAAACTTGGGAATTCAAAATTTCAAAATTGCAGTCTGGCCCAGAATATTTTTAATTTACTCATGGAGTCGGGCTAATTCCAAAATGGAATATGTTGGGCTACAGCTTCAAGGAGTAAAGTTGAAAAAGTGTGACACACTGACATTTACATTTATTATATAGAAGTAATATGAATGGATTTATCAAACACCAATATCAAATCTTTCATTAAATTTAATGATGACACAGTAAATACTAAAAGCATAAATGCTTGTACAGGAAGTAAGCAGAGAACAATATAATAAATTTAGGATAAGGAATAGATATAACAGATAAAAAAAAGTATTGCCTTAATCATAGCATCTTAGAATATTTCAATTTGGTTTCTAAATATTTTTAAATTGTCATTGTAAAAGTACCCCTTCATCAAGGTTCTGTGTAATGCTTACAAAATTTTTCATGTATGTTTTTATTATTAGAGATACAGTTTTTTTACAAAACTATTATATAAATTATAACATAAACCTTGATTAAGAAAATATGTAAAAACAAAAAAAAAAACTAGTGTGGAAAAGAATACAGGATATTGGTAATATCAGAATGTGCTGAAAAGTTCTCAGCCTCAACCAAAAATAATAACCTAGAGTCTGAAATGTGCATATTATTCCACAGATTAATACAGCAGTTAAACACTTTTGGCACAAGTTTCTTTAACCCTACCAAAGAAAATTCTGAGATTTCGTTATTGAAATATTGATTTTGGAAAGTGGTTCTGACTGAAAAGTAAATGGACAAAGCATATTTAACTCATCCAATAAAATTACAGTATCCTCATATTTTTATGGCACAGATATCAAGTCAAAAATTCTAGTTTAGTCATTTTCTATCAAAGATACTAAAACTATTTCAACAGATGATAAAATCCTGGTTTTAGGTGCTCTATTGTGCAGCACTATCTTCTTTGTTTTCACTGTATAAAAAAAAATGCTCAACTGTCAGGCACCAAAATTCTATGATGTGATTTATTCATCAAAATTTGGATGATGTTTTGTTATGTAGCTCGTTGGGTTGATTGAACTCATTCATTTGCATCTGCTTCTTAGCCAGTGCTATGAAAATAGATCTACTATGGTTTTCCTGTATGTCATCACTATTGTATATTTCATTTATTATTTGCACAATCTTGTCAATACAGAAATCCTCCATGGCTGCTGATATCTCTATTGCAATCCCCTCTGATCCTGCTACTTTGTTCCTCGTCCTCTTGGCCAGTGCTGATCTCACTTCAGATTCTAATATTTCTAGTCCTTCATATTTTTGTGCATTACAGGTTTCCATCTTTCATCATGGAAGAGTTTTACGATGTATTTGTTCCACCTTTTGAAGTATTTTTCTTTCTTTGTTATTAGCAAATTGTATGCATCCTATTGATGAGCATGTCTTTTGTCCTATTATTTCTCTTATTCTTTTATGCATATCTGCCTTATATATGATGTTCATTCTTTCTATCTGTTGCATACTTTTCATTGAGCCATTCCTTTTTTGCCTGCCTGCATTTGTTTCTAATTTCTTTGTGTAATGAACTATATTCTGTATCATACCTTGACATTGTTTGCTCTCTTCTATTCATCATGTTGAGAATTTAATCTGATGTCTACTCCTTATTTCCTTCTTTAGCTTTCCTTGGGATGATCTTGTTTTCTGATGTCGATAAAGCTTCTCTTGATGTATCCCACTTTGAATTTCCATTCTCATTTGATTTATTTGCTTTTAATTCTGTCAGTATACACCTCTTTGCAATTTAGGTTATTCAGGAGTCTGTTGTATTATAATTTGGATGCTGCTTTGGTTTTCTGTAATTTCTGCAGTTTTATTCTGTGATTACCTATCAATGGAAAGTGGTTGCTTCTACAGTCAGCACTTGAATATCTTTGTCTCTCTTCTTTGGCTTTTTCATGTCCATAAGCATCTTAAGTTTTCTTGAAACCAGGTGTTGGTCTCAACCAAATTAACACTGCAGATGCTTACCTACAAATGGATGTTGATAAGGAATCCAAGAATCTTCTCACTATCAATAATTTATTTCAATTTAACTGTCTTCCATTTAAGGTGAAGATAGCTTCAGCAGTATTCCAACAAATAATGGATGCTATACTCACAGGATTTGACAAATGTGCATTCTTCTGAACATCGATAAAATATTTCAGATTCATTTTTGACAAAAATGGTTGGAGACCAGACCCAGATAATATACATACTATAATGCATATGACAGCACCAATGGATATTCCAAAACTACGTTCTTTCCTAGGTCTCAGAAGCCACTACAGTACATTTTTACTAGAAATGCACCTGGTACATGGTCCCCTAAAAAATCTTTTGAAAAAAGATGCCTGATGGAACTGGTCACCTGAATGCCAACAGGAATTTGACAAGATTAAATCCCTTCTAAGTTTGGATCTACTGCTTGCACACTACAATTCATCCCTGGATATTGTTTCAGATGCTTAAGATTATGGCACTGGAGCTGTAATTTCAACATCTTTCCAGATGGAAACAAAAAAATCAATTACACCCACAAAGCACAATTACAGTGAGACTGAAAAGGAAGCCTTGGCAATAGTCTTTGCCATAAAAAGTCCATAAAATACTATAAGGATGCCACTTTATCCTGATCACAGACCACAAGCCTCTTGTTAGCATTTTCGGTTCAAAAAAAGACATTCCAGTCAATTGTCTATAACGATGCTTTTGGACTATAATTTCTCTATTAAATGTCAGTCAAGTAGCAACATTAGCCAAGCATATGCATTATCCAGACTCATCCCTTCACATTGCAAGCTACCTGAGGATACAGTTGTTGCTGCTGTATCTGTGGAATCAGAAGTTGTTTTAGCTTTTGTATCCACAGTCAGGATACCATCAGTTATGTCAGAAATGATCCAGAAAGCTACAAACTCAGATTCATTGCTACAGAAAGTCCCACACTTTCACTTCACTAACTAGCCAACAGTATGTGCTGACAGGCAGTTCCAACCATTCTTACAACATAGATCTTTATTAATGGAACCATTCTGGTTGATGAACATGTCATTGTAGCACTAAAACTGCAAAACTGAGTTCTCAGACAATTTCATTACAGGCATCATGGAATGAAGTGAATAAAAGCTTTACTGTATAGTTATGTCTACTGGCCAAATAAGGACATGCAGTTAGAGGAACTTGGGCAAAATTGCTCAAAATGCCAACAGGTATTAAAGTTCTCTCAGAAAACCACATTGTATTTATGGTCAACACCAGAATCTCCATGGTCACAACTTCATGTTGATTTTGTGGGACCAATCAATGGACAATACTACTTGATCCTGGTTGATGCATATATCAAGTGACTAGAAGTGTTTCCAATGGATTGTGCCACATTTAGAGAAACAATTGTTTAGCAGATCTGGGATCTCAGAGATCTTAGTTTCTGACTTCTACAACAGAATGGATTTCAGCACATCAGATACTCACTTATCCATCCACAATTAAATGGACAAAATGAACACTTTGTGGACACCTTTAAGAGAGCACTCTTAAAATTAAAAGCGGATGGAACTGCATGAGAAATCATTGAAATATTCTTCAAAATTATCTACACCAGGAACCAGAAACCAAACATAAAAAATTTAAATGACCTGCAGAAGCCCTAAATGAAAGGAAAATAAAATTTACTGATGGATACCATTCATCCAGCTCCAAATCGTTCTTACAAAAGAAACTGAGTGATGGAAAAATAATTCAACCACCATCATTTAAGTTCAAAGTGTCACATTTATTTGTACCAGGACAACCTAAATGAGAAATGCAAGAGAAGAAACTATTAGATTAGAACTTAGGGTTATATTTAGCAATTTCAACAGAGAAATGATGAGACTTAGCACGAATCTAGTTGGTTGGTTGTTTTGTTTTATGGCATATCAAAACCTCAGTGGGTCATTTAATATCAACAAAATGTTTTAAATAGATTCATACTTGATAGTTTCAAAAAAAAAGGTGTATATGTAATATATATTTGTAGACAATTTTGTTTTTACTCATATTTTTGAGTACAATCCAACTTCTTTTAGGAAATTTACAATCCTGGATGGTTTTATTTTCATAAAAAGTTTTTTTTAAATTACTCACTTGGTAATATTTTGTTTGCACTATTTTGTATTCTGATTTCAATTCTCCAATTTTTTTTTTTTTTTACAAAAAATGTATAACTGTTGGTATTACTGGTATTTTTTTTTTTATTTCTTAAGTATTGCTGGTAATAATTTTTCTTTCAAAAATTATTGCTGGTAATAATTGTTTTTTATTACAAAGTATTTCTGGTTTTGGTTTGGTTTATTTTATGGCATATCAACCTCAATGGGTTATTTAATGCTAACAAAATTTTTATTGTTGGTAATATTTTGTTTTGTCAAAAATCTATTTCTACTAATATTTTTCCTTCAAAAATGTATTGCTGGTAATATTTTATTTTTTTTTCTGGTATTTCTATTTTTATATTAGTTTGGGTGTTAACTATTTTCCCATAGCTGGGACCCTAACAGGTGCTACCACCC